GGTGAATGTGTGTGGAGGTCAGTGCTGCCATGGATGGAGTAAAACTGCAGGATCTCAGCGATGCACCCAACGTAAGTTACTCTAGCATCTGCATGACGTCAGCTGTTCTAGCTGCTGGTCACAGGCCAGAGTTCGTCTGTAAAACTACAAACTCACCTCCCTAACTAATGTTCTCATCAGTAATATGAATCTTTTCTATTTTACTTTAGTTTCTAAACATAAAGTAATGTTGTGTGAATCTTTTCTTTTTGTGTTTTGTCAAGTATTTAACTCTAAAGCCCAAAATATACAATAATAACTTATATAGAGGTTGAAACTGGACCATCTGGCAGGTTTCTGATGAAGGTACTAATCCTGATACTCCATCTGGATGCTTTAAGGCCAGGAGGGCTTTGATGTGTGATGATGGTCTAGGGTTCTCACACTCGGGTCTTCTCGGTCCACTATCCAGCATGTTTTAGTTGTTTCTCTGCTCCAGCACACCAGCTTCAATGATTGATTCACCGGTTTATCCCCTGCTGATTAAAATCCTGCTTGTTGAAGCATAGAAACACTTAAAACATGCTGGAGGACAGGAGTTGGTGACACCTGGTCTAGAAGGAGTTGAGCCATTTTTCAGTCTACAGACCATCAACCACTCCTGTGGGCGGTTGCTGGCTGCGGCGTACACGCCTCCTCTGGAAATGATAATTATAATTATGTCAAGAACATCCGCGTCGTCCTTCGGGGCCACTAGAGACCAACACGAGCACCCGCTAATTGTTCCAACATGGGACCTGAGACAGAACCATGGTGGCGTCCCATCCCTAACTCCAGCCTCCTACATCCTTAAAGTGCCAGGCTCAGCACAGAAGACGCATCAGCGGTTGGTCCAGCTGCTGGCTGTGCCTGTCAGACTCGTAACTGTCTGGCTGTGGGTCAGGAGTGTTCCTGCTTGACCTCCCTGACCATATTAAACAGAAAAGGACACAGATGCATGCTGGGCATTCACCTCCTGATGCAGAGCGCTTCTTCAGGCTCCCTCCTTATCCTATCAGCAGCGGGCGACACGTGACCCAGATAGACAAACCTCCTCTGATTCCGGCGCCGATCAGCAGACATTCCTTCAGCTCCTCCAGACTGGAGGGAGTCGAGTGGCGTCAGTTTATTGAATTGCAGGAAAGAATAGCGCTTTGTCGAATTGGCCTAAAGTGGCCGGTCCTGGATCGCTGTTCTGCTGCAGACAACGTATCTGAACAACTCTGGAAGTGGAACGGCTTCGTTCTGTTTGGACTGCGGCCCGCTTGATATCAGGGTCGTGGCCCATCAGCTGTTTTTATAACTGTCTCGGTATTTGAGTCGCCGGGTTTCCTGGGAGTTCATTCTTGTGAAGAATCTGTTATTAAAGAACAGTTTTAACAATAAAAATCTTCAGCTGTTCTGTCTAGTCAGTGTGAGCCGTCGTATTTAAGACACAAGAAAAACTTCTCTTTAATAACTGGACCAAATTCCACCTGAAAAGCATTTTTATAGTTCAAACATAAAATCCACACCAATTTTTACATTTATCACATATAATTAGAGATGCAGTCTGAAACGTTTTTCTGGAGCATTGCATGAAAAACTTTTTCCATACCGATGGCAGCCTTTTGTCAAAAAAAAGTCTCTGAAACGTACAACCCTGGAAAAGCCTCATTCAGTCATTGTGCATGTCTCATTCTGAAGACTGGATCATAACCTGTCCGTCAAACGGAGCTCTCACCCCGCTGCACATGCGCCTCTCTGTGCAGCCAGACAGGAAGTGAAGCTAGCTTAGCTGCCTAGTGTCACAGGCTGGATGTCCTGTTCTGTTTGGTCTGTGGGACATCTTCAGCTTTTTGTTGGAGCTCGGGTTTCACCTTCCACACGAGGCTTCCACCACGGCACAGGTGCCCGAGTCTCTTCAGCGTGTCATCCACTCTCGCCTAGCTCTGAGGCAGCGACAGACGTTGTGATTTAATGTGGAGGAGTTAGCTTAAAGTCAGGCTAATGCTAGCTGAATTACTCTCTGGTTGATCTTTAGTTTCTAGACATTTATTGGACCCTTCTCTGTGAGGAACTTCGTGTAAAAAGTGTCTTGTGTGACTTCTTCTCCACATCTCACCTTGGTGTGTGAAACACACAGATTCATAAGAAGTCTAGATTTGTCAGCTAATGTCCACACGACCTAGAGGCCTTCATATTTCCCAGTCCAATATTTCAGAGTTTTTCTCCTAAATTATATGATATAAAATATAGTTTAGTAGTTTCAGTTGTTGCTGTTATTATTTAGGTGTTTAGTTGTTTTCATTGTTCAGTTTCTCTAAAACCACTGGTGGCTCTGCTGTTTCGGTGCATCAAAGGAGGACTCCCTCGAAAACGAGATGGTTCATGCCACGGGCAACGTCCTCTGGAAACAAAAATAAATAAATTAATAACTTGTTTTAAGACTAATGCACGCTGAGTGGAAGTCTTTGGATCAATAAACATGTTTTTCCTGGTCGGGATGAAGACTCCGCTGCTGCTGGTTAAATCTGCATTACTCTAACTCTGACTCCTCAGTCTGCTCCAGCATGTAGAAGAATGCACCCCCATGCTCAGCAGCACTGCACACTCAGCATGTTAACATAAACAAAGTCAATATGACCTCATGTTTGGACAAAACTGTGTCTATCCTCCTTATTCCTGGGCCGGCTCATGCAGAAGTGATGTGAGCAACATCCGGTGAGATAGTGGAAGTAGCGCTTAGCCACTGGCCTGCATGGTGAGGTTTTGTGTCTCGTAGCAGTTTATTTGAACATTTGTAAAATTATTCGCCTCTGAAAAACATACTTGCGTGGGTTGTTGTGCTGTTTGTGGTTGTACCAACAACCAGAGAAAGCGATGTTTGGAACGTGCACCTCAGACTAAGAGAGAGAGTGGCTGCATTCCACTTTCACCTGGTCCTTCCCTGTCTGAGTGCATTCTGTTCCTCACATAAAAATGATTCTGAAATACATGCACTGACTTAAACCCTACACATAATAGAACTGAATCATGCTTTTAACAAGCGGACAATGATTAAAATGGAGCTCAGTGTTTAACATACATTATCAAAAGATGATTTAACCTCGTAATAAACGAACAACCTGCCGTTTGTGCTGATGTAGCAGCTAAAAGCCGGGGTTAATGAGGGATTTAAGGCTCTGAGTCGACTCTACGTCTGCTTTTAAGGGAATACGTTTGTTTCCCGTCTCTTTCAACAAAACACGACCAACCTTATTACCGTGTAAGTACTGATAAGCCTCTGAGCTCTAAGACTTTTCATCTCTTCGCTGTTAGGTGCGACTGGGTTAAGAAATGGCTAAAATGCTAATGTTTGTTAGCGTTAGCCAGATTTTCATGTCATCTTCCAGCCCTCTATTGCCGTTGGCAGAAGGATTGTAATGGTGTCCCACTGGTGTTCCCACATTCTTAAAGTCTGTAAAAAGTCCAAAAAAGGTAGATTAATGCAAACGGATGACATCATCCATCTATAGGGAGCCTAAGTCACGCCCATCTACCTATGAACCACGGGTCCGTGAAAGAACGAAACATGAATCTAAGCCAATGGGGCTAAAGAGCCATTTTCTAATCCTGTTTGTTGTGAGCCATGGACTTCACTAACGGTGTCCATGATTTTTAAAGATGCATTCTGATGCCAAGAATGCACTTATTTTTTTATGGGGGGACATAATTTTAGATTGTGTGTGAAAATACGTCCAGGACTACAAATGTGCATCGCCAAACGTACGTCATCAAACCAGACACGGAGAAACACTGGAAAATGGCTGTAAGTTCAGCGAACTTCAAATGCTTCCTTCAGGAGAAAAGAACCACCATAAATCTGGCCATGTGGCACATAGCAGCTAGCTAGGGGAGTTGGTATTCCAGCTATTCCAGCCTATGGTAAACACATTTCCCCTGAGAACAAGGTTCCCCTGATTAGTCAACAACTTGGTCATTTATCCTCTGCCGTCGAGTCAAACATAAGGAATTTATGTGTTTTTGACCAATCAATGGTCAAAACATGAACTTGAAATGGTTCTCCATGCCTTTATCTCCTCCCGTCTAGATTACTGTAACACACTCTTCACATGTTTTAACAAAAAAGCCCTTGACCGCCTTCAGTTGGTCCAGAACTCTGCATCGAGGCTCCTAACTGGAGCAAACAGAAGAGCACACATCACTCCTATTCTGATGTCTCTGCACTGGTTACCCGTTAACTTTAGAGTTCATTTAGAGTCCTAACTAGAACTTTCAGGGCTCTACATGGTCAAGCTCCTCCCTATATTACTGAACTGTTAAAGCCTTATGCTCCAACCCGAGCCCTCAGGTCCACACACCAGAACCTTCTAGACGATCCAAAGACCAGATATAAAAGTCGAGGTGATCGCTCCTTCCAGACTGTTTCACCCCGACTCTGGAATGATCTTCCTTTATCCTTACGTAGGATTGACAGTCAGGACACTTTTAAAAAACAGCTGAAGGCCCTTTTATTTAAAGCTGCTCTTACCTAAAACTTTTATTTTCTTATTTTTAACTCAAATTAGTATCATCTTTCATCTGTTGATGAAATGTTATAATTTATTACTTAATTTTTTCTGCTGTTAATAAATTCTCGTTGTGATTTTATGATTGTTTTGTGATGTTTTGATCTACGTGAAACACTTTGTGATTCTGTTTGTGATAAGTGCTATATAAATAAAATAAGTGCTGTTTATTTTTTTTAAATAACATGCTGGGTAAAATGATCTATATGCAATGAACGATTCAGTATTTGCCTTTTTAAAAGAAATTTTGCCAGCTCTTCATCCGTTTTGAGCCCTTAGATCACGAAGTTTGCGGTCAGGTTGCTGGGAATGTGAAGGATCAGTTCATTTGTGAGACCTGAACAACCGCGGAGCTGTTGCACGTTTAAGGACCCTGTGTTGAGAGCGATGTGCCGTGTGAAATCACGGAGGATCAACACTTTCTGCTTAACAAAGATTGAGAATGGAGAAGGTTTTCACCTGGACCGTTTTAGACCAGGCTGTCACGTTGAGATGTAGTTGGA